CGCAATTAAGGCAACGCCGCTATAAAACTCCCAAATAAATATAACTGCAGAGAAAGTTGCCCAACAAGCAACCCCTAACGCGCACAGGCGGTGAAGGAAAACCCAAATTTTCATGCTAAAAATTGCATAAAAAAGCGGAAAAAAAAACGGCTGTTGTAGGAAAACGTGAAACGCCTCGAGTTCTGCATATACATAACTCGGGACACACTCTCGGGGGGCTACTACCTGAGCAGTGTGTCCCTGCACATGGGGTGTCAAATGCCAGCCAAGTACCGTAACGTGTTTTTTTTTCTCGGCTGTTTTCTTTCCCATTTCGATTTCCATTGTGTTGTGTTTTTTAAGGAATATATTTCCTTATCGTGGCGCGGCGAGGCGAGGCAGGCAGACAACGCAATTGATTTCTGTTCTTTTTCTACCCAAAAAAAAACCTATACCGAGGATTGCTCAAAGGACATACATAAATAAAAATCAAAAGAATGTCATTGAATGTCATCCTTGAGACATCATTGATTCGGTGCTTCATCATGTTACCCAAAACAAAGGCTCGCCGAATCTGAATCTGAATCGAAATTGCCATTGGAGATATGTATGTAAAAGAAAAATAAAATCTGAGGGGAAAGATGATGCCACGGATCATGAATAATTCCCGGCTCAGCAGCAGCTTTTTTACCTACCCCACCCCTACCCATCCTCATAGCAACCCACCCTCTTCGGTGCGCAGCGCCAAGCTGAAAATTTTTCTGTAATTTACAGCAAAATTGTGACGGGATTTTAAGAGATCCTTAGCTGCTGATTAAACTGAGGGACAAATTTAATTAACGCACACGCATTCCCGGCCAACGAGGGGGTGCATTTTCGCTGTGGAAATGTGGGTCGCAGCAGACTGCTCTCCCTCGGGGTGCAGAAAATGGGAAAAACTGTGCGAAAATGTATTGTAAAAATACAATTTATGTCGTGAAAACTAATTCAGAATATATTTTAAGGAATTACAAACCCAATTGTCTACATTATGATTTTTGTATTTTTAGTGGAAACTACTTAAAAACGCGAAAAATAAGATAACTTTTTATTATTTTAAAATGCAATTACATATGCGTGAAAAATAATTCAAAATATATTTAAGGAATTACAACTGGGTTGGGCTATGAAAATACTTTTAGATTTTTATACTTATTTAGTGGAAAAATATCTTTAAAATCTGCGAAAAATTAATGAATAAACTCTTTGGCCGTTTTGGACATCCCCGTACTTAACCCACACTTTAATGTAAGAGCTCATAATTATTAAACTTTAAAGCACAGCACCCAAGTAATGAGAATGGGCTGCCTCCAACCTGCTGAAATCATTTTGTAAAATATATATTAAATCTCCTGAGATACAACCACTAAAAATAAAAACTTTCCGTCCACATAAAATTCAGTTTCCTTTTGCCATTAATCAATGAACTAGAATCTTAAAATCTGTTAAAGGAAACCCGCAAGAACAAACCCCAAAGAGCAGCCAGACATGCCAACATGTTTGTAGACCCAAAAGACTTTAACGACTTCATTAGACATTTCACTTTTCGTTAGTTTCTCCCAAAACCATTTACCAAGTACACTCCAAACGGAAAAAAATGGGCTCAAAATTTCCCTTTCCTTGTTTTTTGTTGTTGTTGCTTTTTAATATTTTCCGGCTGCCCCAATAAAAAGTCTGTTGGCCAGGTTCAACTCTTCTGCAGTTTCTGCCCTCTTTTTTTATGATCTTTGCCTACATTGACTTAAGTAATTCTCGGCACAGAATTTTCTTTTACGATGAAAGGGCAAGGACGCCTCTCAGTTTGAGCTGGGCCAGAGCGAGACAGCGAGGAGTCAGAGAAACAGATAGAGGGATATAGGGATATAGGTAGAGCCGACAAATAGTTTTGATATTTTTTATGGACACGCAGCACAGTGGGCCACATGCGAGTAGGACACCGTTTGTGTTCACGCAAATAAAAAAAAAAGCCAAACGGTCAGAAAGTCAACAAATTTTGAGTGGGAGTGTGTGTGGGATTCGACTCACTGATGCCCAGTGAAGAATGGACATAACAAAAACATGCTAAAAATAAGAAGGGGAAAGAATATAAATTTATAATTAATTAATATTAATATAAATTTATGATTAATTAATATTAATTAATAATAAATTGATATTGATTATTTTGATTAACTAAATAATAATAATTAAATTAAATAATAATAAGCAATATTTATTATTTAATTATGCATTATTATTATTAATTAATATTAGTTAATTAATTAATATTCATTTATTTATTTAGTTCCAGTCCACGCCAAGGCTCGTTTCACAACTGGCTCCCTGAATCTAGAAATCTTTTTGTCCATTAAATCCATTTAAATGCAGCTCTAGTTCCTTTATTTTTTTGTTCTCCTTCTTAGCTCTTAGTGCCTGTCCCACTGGCTTAGGCATCAAGCCCAATCTACCCCTACTACTACCCTCTATATAGGCCATCACGATTCAATGTTTTTAACAGCTCCTTGCGAACGTGAGAGCGCGGATAACCAGTAGTCCAAGTGGTCCATTGCCTTTTGGGCTAATTAACATGTACGCTCAGGCTCCGGCTCAGGCTCAGGATGCTGGCCAACAGACAAACACTGCCCAACTGACTGACTGACTGACTGACTGACTGCATCCTGGCATACAAAACGTATCGAATGTTTTTTATGATTTACTTGGAAATCGACTCCCTCCGCTTACAGGCGTCGTAAAAAGATGCGATGCCAAAGAGCGCGAAATATCCAGCCGAAACCGAAGCAGACCGAACAGAACAGAACCCGCACCCCGCCCGAACCATAGGTGGCGGCTATCTCGTATCATTGATGGAAGCAAAGCGTTAAACGCATGTCAGTCCAGTCCAGTCAGGACCCAGCAATTTCTCCCGCACTGTTTTTTTTTTCTTACCTGTACCTGTAATTTTTTTTTGACTTTTTATGACTTTGTAACTATTTTTTATGATTTTGCCATCACAAAAAGATATACATACATATAAAAAAATGTCTGTATATTGGTGGCATTGGTCAGGTAGTACGCGTAGTTGGGCTAGTTTTTTATGGGTAGTATGGGAACGATTTTGTTGTTTGTGTTGCTCTCCGTGAAATTTGACTTTTTCATTATAATTCGTTTGTTTGCCAGTTCCCTGGAATATTAAAATTGAAATATTTTCAGAATATTTGTTTATAAAAATGTGGCAGATTCGGAGAAGCGCAATCACGCAGCTATAAAGTCAATAAAAATGGGTTTAAAAATGCCTTTACTTAGGATACTCAGTAGAAATATTGTGGAAAATGTAGAATAAGAAGCTAAAATTCATTCATGAATTTATTTAAATTTTTAATTTATTTATTTGTATGACTTTGGGACTGTGAGTAGAAATATTCGACAGAGATGCTTTAATTTTCACTTAATTTAAAATTACTCGAAAATGGTGCCAGCACACGTTCTGTTAATTGTGCAATATTTGTCATCATAAATGTCGCCTTTTGCTCGAGCAAAATCAAATATGAAATAGTAAAACCAAAAACAAATCATAAAAATAATAATAAAAATCAACAAAGAGTGCAAAAGAAAAGCAAAGAAAAATGCTCCCAAGGGGGGGTGAGGGCAGGGAATAAGTTGGAGCTGGAGGAGGCATCGCACATGTGTGCATACATGAATGGCAAATAAAATGCGAATGCCGAGTGGAAGGCAGGAACAAAGAGCAACTGGAGAAGAAAGAGACGTCCGTTGACGACGACAAAGCTTTCGATGGGTTGCTTGTGGGGGGGAGTCACCGGTGGTGATGATGCTGCTGCTGCAGTCAGCGTCGACGTAGCTTTAAAATATTTTTACATAGCCCCCACACACACACAGAGCCATGCAAAGAACCAGAGAGTTAGTGAGTGAGTAAGAGAGAGAGAGAGGTCTAACACGCGCCAATCATAAAATAATATGCATACATACGCTCGCACACACACACAGCACACACAGGGGGAGAAAAAGTGGCACCCAGCATAAAAAAACCATTTCGATTTGAAAGCGAAATTTAAATTTTAAGCCACACCCCAAACAAGCGCACGCATGTCGCACCGACACACACACACACACACACACACACACAAAACAATGGAGCCCACACGAACGAAACGAACGAACCACAACCGAGTGGATACCCCCCCACACCCATTGACAGACATTGTGGTACAACAAATTTTAAAACGTATAAAACGTGGATGGAGAGCGAGCGCGCATTTTACAATCCACTCCGTCGCAGAAACTCACTCACTCACGCACACACACACACTCACTCATATTCCCCCTCCTACTGCACACAAAACAAACTCAATTCAGAGAGAGCGCGAATGAGAGTCAAACGGTCCACAGACAAACACACACTCACACTCACACTTCGGGTAAGTTTTACTCAGAGTGTGGAACTCATTTCTAACATGACTTCAAACAAGCAAACGGTAAATGGGAGAGAGACAGTGGGCGAGAGCGAGAGAGCGCGCGCCATTCATTCTGGCAGCAAAAGCAAAAGCTTCGAGTGTGCCGACGAGTGCATTCGACGCGTCTCTGTGAAACCAGTTAAACGTGTGGAGCGCATCACATCGTATCCATCCGTCGGGCGCTTTGTTGCCAGTTTTTTATTCGTTTCGTTTCCCCATCCTAACGCTTTTTACGACGTGCGTTCGTGTGTGTGTGTGTGTGCGAGGGCTTAAAAAAGCAAAATCAACCCTTACTCGTATTGGGGTGGTGGTAGCACAGACCGACCGACAGTGCCACACAAATTGGGCATAAAAACACACCAAAAAATTTCAACTCAAAATCCAAGTAAACGGCACACACTCAAAGCCGGCAAAAGGAGAACAAGAAAGCGAGAGAGGGAGAGAGAGAGGGAGAGGGAGAGTAGCAGGCTAGAGAGAGTGAGCAACAGCAAAAGAAACCGTCCATCATCATCATCATCATCGTTGTCGTCGTCAGCAGAGCGAGCGAGCGGCGGCGGCGACGGCCTACAGCGATTATCCGTTAGTAGAGTGGAGTGGAGAGAAGGTATCCTGACCGCTGCGGCCGTTTCTCTGTTGTCAGTTTCACACGAAACGCTCACGAACTCGGTTGGACGCAAGAGACGACCGGCGCTTATCTAACCCAATGAGACTTGGAAATAACAGTAAAAGCTGAAGAAGAGCCGCCACAAGAACAGAACAGAACAGAACAGTGTAAAAGTGCTTGAAGCAGAGACAAGAAAACAAAAATAAAAATAAATCTATTTTGTGTAACAATTTCAAAGTGCAAGAAAGAACAGAACATACATATCCCTACCCCCCCGATATAGCAACTATATCCAAATATATTAAACAAAGACACAAAACTGAACGACAAGTGAAAATGGTTATGTCGGAGCTACGTTGGCATACCGCTAGTCCCGAGGATAATAGTAACTCCTTGAAGCGTGACTTGCTGAAGACCACACCGACCAGTGCCCGCGAGGCAGCCGTGCACATTATGCAGAATCGATGTAAGTTATCAGCATGTAAATATCCATCCATAGATCCAACTGAAAGCTGGATCAATTAGTAGTCAATAGTCAATAGGATTCGTGGTGTTCACATATGAGTGGCAAAGGGCCAATATATATCTGAAGTTGGGAAACTATTTTGCTTATTCCTGATAGCTTCTATACGTAAATTTTAATTGTAAAATATTATCAACCTATGGGCAATACAATTTTAAATCACTTAGGCACATTCGTGGTATTATATTTGGGGGATAATTGATAGATAATTTAACATCAAAAGCTTTTAAGTTGAATTATTAAAATCACTTCAATAAGTTCAATATAAATTTTTGATTCTGGAATTCTATATCACGTTCAAATTACAATGATTGCTTCAACGAATGCCTAATACCCGAGTCTTTTATGCACTCTTTTTAGACACTTTGATTGGTTGGATTTGCAGGTGTTTTACCCCCGGATACATCAGGTTGATCTCCACCCTAAATAAAATGAGGCTTACAGCTAAAAGAAAAGTAGCTTTAACTTGCCCAAAATTTCAATTTAAAACCATAGCTGCACATCTTTCTTTAGCCATTTACAAATGTTCTAGACATAACTAAAACTCAGTCAAATTAAGTCAATGACTGGGTTCAAGTGCTTTGCACCAACACCAAACACCCACCGAGAACTAAAAGCAATGACAAATTATTGAAAAACTGCAACTTGCCCAGCACAGGTGTCTCTGCCATAAATAATAATAACTCCCAGCGACCCACTTGGGCTGGAGACTCAAGACCCACCAGGCGGTACCAGGCGAGAACTACACACGAGTAAAGTAACAAATGAGTAGTATTACAAATGCGGACCATAAAAATATTTATTAAAGACGCATGTCTTGCACAACACAAAAATATGACCATGTAAATGGAGTACAGGTATGGGTACAGGTCTGGCTACAGGTCTGGCTACAGGTACCAGAGGTATGGGGGAGGGGAGCGTACTAAGACCGAGACTGGTGGCGATGGGCACTCAATGGAACCGCTCGGCCCATTGTAAACAATACTTTTAATTTGTTGCCTTATCAATTAACGTTTCGAAGCGCGCAACAAAAACAATGAGCAGAGCCATAAAAAAAAGCGCATTTCGATGAAAAATATTGTAAAATCGAATGTATCGATGGTTCGATATGCGCAACAATTCCATGCTCGAGTTCTGCCTGTTGTACGACAAGTGGAAAGACACCAGATGAGTCGTCGAGTCATTTGGTTAATTATATGTAAATTTGCAATCAATGAAAAGTGAGTAATTTTGGCGGGGGTTTGTGTGCTTCCGATAAGGTAATGTGTGAAGGGGAACACCAACAAGTTCCGTTTTTCCATTTTTTCGGCTGCGTACTGCTGTACGACCATTCGTTAGCCATCCAATCAGCGTTCGTGCAGAGCGAGTGCCTCGAACACGTGACGCAAATGATTTCTCGGCCTAATCTAGCCCACAGAACGATAGCTAATATATGTCTCATGATATTCATATAAGAGCTTACCTTGTACAAGGCGATTTGCTTATCACAGTTGACTTCTTATCTCGCCATGACCAATAATCGAGCTAATATTTTTTGCACACCTGCAGAACGTAACCCAAAAATCTTTACGTCTTTTGCCACAGAGTAAACAAGTTTCGTCATACTTTTCATAGATTTTGCGAGCAGCAAAAAAAAATACGTACATAAGTACTACTACTACAATCAGTTTTAAATTAATATTTATATTTATATTTATTTGTGCGATTAGAGCAGCTCTCTGGTCAGTCCATGTCGATTGACGACAATGTGTACACTACACCACACAAAAAACTTTGACCAATCACATTATTTTTAGTCACTGAGAGTCCATGAGCTCATGCCCGATACCAGTCCCAGTCGCAGTCCTGGTGCTGTTGCCCCTTATCAGCTACTTATAACCATAAAAGCCGATCAAGAAAGAGGGCGTGTGTTTGGTCTTTTATGGCTAATTCTTGGAAAAAGTAGGAAATGAATAAAAAAAATCGATTAAGATTTACAATTGCCAAAGCGGAAATTGATAGAAAAATGCAGCCGCGCAGCTCCACCATATAGTTAACAATGCAATTTGGGCTCTTAACAAACAAAAGTAAACAATTTTGTCGCGCTGTTGATTAAGGGGGCTGTAAAATGTACTTGGAATGAAGTTAAAGGTTTTAATGGATCAGAAGAGGCATTAAAAATGAGATATTTAAGCATTGTTTGCAGGAATTATGGGCATTAAACACCAGAGATTGCTACAAGTAATATGTTTAAGAGAATCGAAACCTTACCTTTGGGGTAGCTTATTTTTCTGACAGTAGAGTAGGACCCCCCAAAGGGTTTTATCTCTTTGGTTGCATCCCAAATCGGGTATATCCTTGCGTACACCTTTTGCCTTGCCTTAAATCATATTTTTTTTTATTTATTTCCTACATTTCCCTGCCCGTTTAGCACCCATATACATTAAAGTAGCCCCCTTCCGTTTGAGATCCTAAGCGCCAGACTTGCCTTAATATCCCCTTCCCTCTTTCCAGCCGCTAATCAAGCTTTCATTTCATTTCATTTGATTTCGCCGCATTTGGAGCTTTCGCTCTTTGAGAGTGAGTGTGTTTGCTGGTTTTGTTTTGCTACGAATATCCCTGCCAAGACAAAGGCAGAAAAGCGCACGCACATTACATGTATTTTTGTCTTTGCTTTCGTTTATTTTATTTTATTTATTTATGTTTTTTCTTTTGGCTACTCTTGGAGGAGTACCCATGCCAGTCCTGTTCCGCTCGGTGTTCGGTGCGGCTCTGTTCTGTTTCTGTCCAGTGTGGGGTCAAGAGTTCAAGACACGCAGCTTCCGCCGTCGACGGCTACGACGACGACGACTCAATCGATAGTCAGTCTGCGCACGTGATGTCCGCCGTCTATAGCATATAGTAGAATGTGTGCCTGGCCTCTCCTCTTCTCTTCACTGTGTGTGTTGGTCTGTGTTTTCTGTGGGTGGACACCCACCCCACTGTCGAGGTCATTGACTAATTGTGTGCGCCACACAGCCAAACGGACCTCTCTCTCTCTCTCTCTCCCCCAGCCCTCATCGCACCACCATCACAGCATCATAACCATCCTCCATAGCGCCACCCCCGCTGTGCAATTCTCTAAAATTTTATTTATTTTCGTTGCGGGGGGGTGGCCTGGCGGCCTGGCCGTGGCTGTGGTTTTTGCAATTTCTCTGCCAAAAATTGTAAAATTCTTTGAAAATTGAGAGAAGGAGATTTGCCTTTGCCCCTGCCCCTGCCCCTCCCAGCCGTATGGTTGGATTCAAATGTTGCTCATTTCATTTCATTTCACTCGTGCTGGACACGCGCGAGGGTGTCGAATGTTTCTACTTTTATTTCAGAGGGTTCTTCCCCCCTACTCCCCTTTCATTCCCCTGCTTATGTAATTTATGTGGCATTTTAACGCGCAGTTTTTCGAACATTTTTGTTACCTAAGGCCAAGCCAAGCCAAGCCAAGCCAAAGGCGCTGTCTCCATGCCCATATGCCACAAACCACTTGAGTTTGGTTCCTGCAATGTCTTTGTGGCAACCAACAGTTGTTGTTGCTTAATTAGTGGCGCAAAAGGCGTGGCAAAACGGGCGACAGAAGTGTGCCAGAGGAAGGGAAGGAGAAACTATCGAATGGGAACTGTTTCAGTGCAGGATTTAGAGGATGAGCCCAAAGATAGTAAGCTGCTTCGATCTGCTATAGATTCTATAAAAAAAAACTGAATCCAACCCAGCCAACTGCAGCTCCCCCGCCGCTCCATGCAACAACTGTTCAAATATCCAACTGCAAAAGAAGTCAATTTCTAATGCATTTTAGAGGAGACTCGCCCTGGCCCTGGTCCGCCACTCGTAAATTAGCCAAAGCGTCTGAGAGACACAGAGAGAGAGAGACCAAACAACAAATTCAATTTCTCTAGTCATAAAAAAATGCAGTCAGCACAAATGTTGTCTGTGTGGCTGTGCCTGGACTGGACTGGACACTTACCTTGCTCCAAAATTCAAATCGTACAGCGTAGTACCAGGTGTGCCGTGAACTCTGGCTGCTCTGGCGCTTTCATTGCCCCCTGACGATGAACATAAAAATATCCTTTTATAGGCAAACGGTGTCGCTGTCTGGACGCGGACTGGACATCGGACTGGGCTCGGACTGGGCTCGGACTGGACTCGGACTGGACTCTCGGACTGGGCTCGGACTGGGCTCGGACTGGGCTCGGACTGGGCTCTCAGACTGGGCTCGGACTGGACTCGGACTGGACTCTCGGACTGCTGTTCATTTTCAGCTTAAAATGTATATCGATGCATATCGATTTTGTGTATCGTAAACTTGAGCGGCGCTGCCTGTTGGGGGTGGGGTTTTTCCCTGCCATTTTGTCCCGAGTTTTAAAATGTTTCTATTTTATGCGCGAGACGTGTGTCGTCTTTTAGCTTTAAGTGTGCCCTGCCGCTGCATTTGCCCTGAGTCTAAATATTTCCGCTTTTCCCTTTTTCGTTTCAGATATCAGCCGCCTGTCGCGCTCGCCGTCGCCACTGCAATCGAATGGTAAGTGTTTCCCTTTCCCTTTCTCCCCCCACACTTAGAGCTGGAAACATCAGCTGTTGTCCGAGCCCGAAAAACGATTTACGAGATTTGTCCACTTCCACTGCTACATATATATATATATACAGCTATAGCTATACATATATATTTATGTAGCAGCTATACATATGTATATTTCTGGTTTTTGGAAACATCTGCCCCTGGAAGCATGGCAGGAGTACGACGAGTTTAAGGGGTAGGGGGGGCTCTCCTCTCAGTTTCACTAAATCACTCACATGTTTTCGGTTTCAACAAAAAGACAATAAACCCCCGAAAATCAACCCTTGCCTTGCCCTGCCCTGCCCTGCCCGGTGCCACGCGCGCTAGGCACTGATACACTTTTAGGGGATCGGGGAATAGATCGGTGACGGGGTTGCCCATGGGTAGGGAGGTTTCCTACCAGGCACACAATGGCCTGTCAAAACTTTTGTCACAGCCCTTTCTGGGCGCTGATTTAATGGCGCAAGAGAGGCGGTGGGGGGAGAGATCTTTAAGTTGATTTTGATGTCTTATTAAATGGGTGTTTCGACTTAACAGCTTCTTAAGTAGTTTGCTGAGGTGACAATTGGGTTTTGTCAATTGGTTGCCAGCCAGTCAGCCAGACATTCCCTTTAATTGTCTGCCTCTGTGGAAAAAGGGAAATGGCAGGGGATTAACTGGAACTGAAACTGGAACTGCATTAAGTTCTACACTTTTGATGGCACTCATAAAGCATTCGATTATTATTCATAACTCGTTCGGCAAAAAGGAGGCTGTGGCTGGTGCTGGGACTGGGGGTCTGGGCCTTCAATTTGCAATTCACACTTTTCAAATTTCATGGACTTCGTTAGTCATGGTCCAAACGAACGAACGAACGAACGAACCCCTCAACCTTTTCTCCGACTTGGCTCCCTTATTTTGCTTCTTTCTTCCTTCTTTTTTTTTTTACCACATTATTGACAGCATTTTCGCTTGATTTGAATTCACATGTGAGGGAGTGTGTGTCCATGTCCGCATCCCTGTCTGCTTGTGTGTGTGTGTGTGTGGGACTCTCTGGACACAGTTGCTGTGATTTCTTTCACGAACATGAACCACATACACACTCCTACTCCTACTCCTACTCGTATATATGTATGTATATTTACATATATTTTATGCAAAAATTATTCCGTTATGCTTGGCCTGGCTTGGCTTGGCCCCCGTATGTGGGAGCATTTTTTTTTTTTGGGTAGCGTCGCTCCTCAATGTGCAGTCAAACTGACCATTTGGCTTCTTTTCGTTTTATTGGTTATACTAAATGGAACAGGAGCGTAGTCAACCGAGGGGGTTTGTAAATGGAGTGCAGATTGGGGTTCTGTGAGGAAATATTATGACATTCAGGGTATACTTTTTTGAGCATGTTTTTCTGTTGCATTAAATGGATATCCAATTATTTTCTTATGCATTAGAAAGGCTTTTGGTGGGAACAGTTATACCATCATGGTTTAATTTCTTTTTGGATGTTCTTTTCTTGCCTTGAATAGAAATCATTTGTTTTCTTATATCATATTTTTGATTTGAATTAGAAATCCTTTTTGACGTCGTGTGCTTCATTTACTTCACACAATATTTATTCCGGAAATTCAAACCATTAAATTAAAATTAAAAAAAATATATGGCTTATCCAGTTATCCCCCAATCAAAAATATATAGCTTATCCAGCTATCAATTATATATTATCAATCAATTATATTTCCTTCTGTAAATCGATTAATATTTCAATTTAAACCTATCGACATCTCAGCCAACTTATATCCCAAAAAGAGCTCTAAAAGAATTTCATAGCCTACATTCACTGCCCTATTTCAGTCAGCTTTAGCCTCAAGTCACTCAGCTTTTATGCACTTTAGCAGCCCCAATTTTTCCCAGTTAGCTACTTCGAATATTTCCCTAAATATTGTACACCCTGCCAACGCTGGACATACGCCCACGCCACTGACCCGAACAGCCATTCACACAACACATACAAATCGAATTTGCACATCATCTGAATACCAAATGGACGCACGTAGCCCTCCCCTCCCCGCCCCGCCCCAAACGAGAGAAGGAGCTGCTGGCCTCTCGATGTGGTCCCTGGGATGGACGCATATGTAAAAAGGATGACCATGTGGTCGCCCACTTGGGCGAATAAGTCATCAAATTCACGTAGCAGCCAGCCAGCCAGCCAGCCACAGCCATCCAGCAGCCAGCCACCCACAGCAGGCATCAGGAGGCGACCAAGTCATAAAGTAGCCCAGAACAAACATATGCAAAAATTGCCTGCATTGGACAGGATGTGAAAATAGTATGAGGGGGGACCCAGACCAGGGGGCTACTTCAAAGGGTTTAACTTTTTTTGATTGCCAACCAGTTGAGGGGGAGGATGTGTTGGTCGGTTGGTTGGGTTTCGGTTTGATGGCTTTGGGTTTGAGTTTGGCTTTGGCTTTGGGTTTTCTAGTTGCCAGTTTTAGCTCAGAAATGAACTCGTCTTGTATTTAAATATTATTGCAAATCAATTGGGAAAGAAAAACCCTCCACTCTACGCCATACCTACCATTCCTCGCTCCCCTGTCGCTCTCTTTTTGTTGTATAAATAAAATGCATACAAATAGCAAATTTATACAAATCGGTTTGGCCGGGCATTTGAAATGCTAAAATGCCACTTAAAAGCAGCTAAAAGCGTCAGCCAAAATGAAAAGAAAACACGAGAATTCCATTTGATGTCAAGGTGGAACTATGTAAACTATGCACCAGCACACCACCACAGTCACCCAGGGGGTGGCAGGGAGTAGCTGTAGCTGTAGCTGTAGAAATTTTCGCATAATAAACAAAGTTGAGGCCTCTCGCTTCGGTGGGTGGTCACGTGAAAGGCTTTCACCCAAAAACTTGCAGATGGCTGGCAAAAACCCAACGGACTATGAAATTGAACGAAAATTATACAAAATGTTTCGATCTGTGTGTGTGCGCTCTCGGGGCCTATGCTAAATTTATGCAAAAGGACACTCCACAGAGTGGACTCATTTTTTTTTTTTTTTGCATAGCCTGAATAGCAAATGGCTAAGAAAAATATTTTTCCACTGGATTAAGCCTTTTTCTGGGTTTGGTTTTTGGGCTTAAAAATGAGCAAATGAGAAATGGAGACTCGAAAGTGGATTGAAAGTAAATAAAATTCGCTGCTGGGTTCGTGAGCTCTACTGATCGGAGAGAGCAGCTCCTTCTGCTCTCCATACTCTCCATTTCCACTTTTCTTACCCCCTTATTCTTCCCCTTCATTTACAGCTTCCGATTGCGATGACAACAACTCGAGCGTGGGCACCTCCAGTGATCGCTGCCGCTCGCCTCTGAGTCCCGCGCTCTCGCTGACCCACCAGCAGGCCAAGCGCCAGCTGCTGTCACTGCCCCATCCGGCACACCATCATCATCAGCATCAGCAGCATCATCATCATTTGAACCACCTGAACCACCAGCAGTACAAGCAGCAGCAGGAGGAGGACTATGAGGACGCCAATGGCGGGGCACTGAACCTCACCAGCGACAATTCGCGTCACAGCACCCAATCGCCGGCCAATTCGGTCAAGTCCACGTCGATTACGTCGCCCGTGCCAGTGGCCGTGCCCTCGCCCGTGCCGCCCATGATCTCGCCTGTGCTGCCCCTGCCACATGATGTGGCCACTGGGGCAGGCGGCTCCGCGCCCACCTCGATGGCAGCAGCGGCTGCCGCAGCCGCCGCCATGGCCAGCACAGTGGCCAGTGGCATCTCCCCGCTGCTGGCGATGCCGGGACTGTCCTCGCCACAGGCACAAATGGCAGCCGCTGGCCTGGGGCTGAACAATCCGCTGCTGGCCGGGTCGCTGTCCCCCCAGGACTTTGCCCAGTTCCAGCAGCTGCTGCAGCAACGGCAGGTGGCGCTCCAGCAGCAGTTCAACAGCTACATGGAGCTGCTGCGCAGCGGATCGCTGGGTCTGGCCCAGGACGATCCAGCACTGACCACCCAAGTGGCGGCCGCCCAGTTCCTAATGCAGAGCCAGCTGCAAGCCCTCGGCCAGGCCACACAGCAGCTGCAGGCACTCCAGAAGCAGCAGCAGCGCCAGCAGCAGGACGAGTCCATGCCCCTGGCCTTGCCGCTGAACAAACCGAGCCATCACCAGCAGCATCACCAGCAGCACCATCAGCAGCCACGCAGCTCCACGCCCCACTCCATACGCAGTCCCATTTCGGTGCGCAGTCCGGCCAGCTCACCCCCACAGCTCCACCATCATCCGCTGCAGATCACGCCGCCCAGTTCGGCGGCCAGCATAAAGATGAGCGGCATGCTGACGCCGAGCACACCCACCAGCGGCACCCAGATGCACCACAGCGGCACCACCACGCCACAGCCGAAGACGGTGGCGGGTGCGGCGGCTGCCCGTGCCGCGGGCGAGCCCTCGCCCGAGGAGACCACCGATCTGGAGGAGCTGGAGCAGTTCGCCAAGACCTTCAAGCAGCGCCGCATCAAGCTGGGCTTCACGCAGGGCGACGTGGGTCTGGCCATGGGCAAGCTGTACGGCAATGACTTCTCGCAGACGACCATCTCGCGCTTCGAGGCGCTCAACCTCAGCTTCAAGAACATGTGCAAGCTGAAGCCGCTGCTCCAGAAGTGGCTGGACGATGCCGATCGCACCATCCAGGCCACCGGCGGCGTCTTCGATCCGGCCGCGCTGCAGGCCACAGTCAGCACGCCGGAGATCATCGGTCGCCGTCGCAAGAAGCGCACCTCCATCGAGACGACGATTCGCGGTGCACTCGAGAAGGCGTTCATGGCCAACCAGAAGCCCACCTCGGAGGAGATCAGCCAGCTGGCCGATCGCCTCGGCATGGAGAAGGAGGTGGTGCGCGTGTGGTTCTGCAATCGGCGGCAGAAGGAGAAGCGCATCAATCCCTCGCTGGACAGTCCAACGGGTGCCGATGACGATGAGTCGTCGTCCTACATGATGCACTAGAGCAGGAGGAGGAGCAGAGTGGAGTAGAGTGCTGCTATCGATCGATATCTAAGGGACAAAGACAGTGCAATGTGCGCAGGACACAAGTGAGCAAATGAGTGAAGGAAGAAGCCAAGCAACAACTATGAGCAGGTGTGTGTATTATTATCTCTATATTTATTTATTTGATTTATTTGTTGATCTTTGATCTTTGTTGAGACAAATTTACTTGCTGATTTTTCACTGTGTTAAAAATTTCACTAACAATTTCCTTTTCTTTCTGCTCTGTTTGGTTGCAGGTTCAAAGTCGCAACACACATCAAATATTAGCATAATTCTTGACTATGATTAGGTGGTACCAACTCCTGCGCGTGCACACACACAGAGATACCAATTTGGGGTTGGTTTATGTTAACTATTAAATGGTATTTATTGCAACGTACTTTCGTAATGGAAAAAAAATCAACCAAAAAAATATTGCTAATCAGGTGAACTGCCTATCCTCCCTCCCGCCAGGCAGTTCACTTGATCACCGACGTTTTTTTTTTGGCGGCCATAAAGAAATCGAACTCTCTTGCCCTCGTTGGGGCAAATCATTTCGACTTGCCCTCGTTGGGGCAAATCATTTCGATTTCTTTATGGTCCTTGTAGCACTGTGGCGTCTGTGTATTATTAATATTTAAGTACAGTCTCTGCACAAATTTCAAAGTCAACAAAATGAATTCCTAGCGAATATCTATAACAAATACATACATACATATATAATATATTTTAATCGTTCCCTAAAAAAAAACACAAAACCCAAAAGCAAGGTACATTTTTAAGCATATTTATTTTTCGCGTGAATACTGTGATAATCAATTTGAATGATTTTAATTTTAATTACAAAACAAAACAAAAAACGAAAAAACAAACAAGAAAACAACAAAAAATTAATACGTATTAATTAGATGTATTTTCTATTTTATGGGCAAGTAAACTAACAACAGAAAAATATAATTGAAATTTGTCGTATTTATAAATGTGTATGTGTAAAAACCATTTGAATTTATTGAAAAAGAACATTTATAATTGTAAAATGTATAAACAAAAAAAAAAACACATACTAATAGAATTTTTAAATGTATAATTACAAAAAACAGGAAAAGACAAAAACAAAAACCAGCGCAACAAAATTAAATAAAAATAAAAATAATTATCATACAAAATATAAATTAAAATATTTGTGCATTTTTTTATGGGGCGGGAAATGCAGTTGCAATGCTAGCTATGATTTTTTTTTAGATAATGCTGCTCCCAGAAATGATCTCTGGGAGGCTTTTTCATATAAAAAAAAAAAGATCTTAACCCACCCAGCAGAGATATCAATCTGCCGAGTGAAAGAAAAATGTTTCTGAATTGAGTTCAGCGGCTGATATGAAAGGGAATTGGAAAGAATCGCAAGTGTTTGAGTCTCTCTCTCCCCCTTGATGGGGTAAAAACGCAAGCTAAAAATTTTAATAAATAACAACATGCAAAACTGAAATTAATTCATGGAATTTCTTCCGGCCCCTCTGTCGCTGGCTGTGTCTCTGTCTGAGTTCTGAGTTGTGGTTCTGGTCAAGTGAGGGAAGGAAGGCGCGTGCAGAGCTAATAAGAAACAGACAGCCAACCCGCAGCAGTACGACAACTGGACCGATTCGATCTCATGACCAAGATATCTACATGCAGATGAGCCAAACGAACGGAGGGGCAACCTGGGTCACTCACGAGCGGACTCAGACTCAGACTCAGACTATCAATGGAAAGCCGACAGTACAAAATGAATTCACTGCGATTTGGTTAGGGCGGTTCGTCATTGTCGCTCGTTGCTTTGAGCAATTAAAAATGGTTTGGTGGCAAAGTTGAAAGTACAGTGTGGCTGCGCTAAGACAGAAGAGGTGTGAATAGATAGAGATATATATAGACCTAGAAATTAGAGAGAATGTTAGCATAAATAAAGAATGGTAGGATGGAGCTGTTTAAATATGTCACAAGCAAGATTTTTTATATGAAGTTCCTTAATTAATTTCAAGTGTTTTTTTTCTCTATGACAATCCTCACGTTATACTCATTAGCTGTGGCAGAGAGGCACATCCAGCCGCGGGACACGACACATACGCAAATGATGTTGAAAAGAGATGCACAAACGCTGCCCTGCCCTGCCCTGCGCCCCCCGTCGGAGTTCACTTGTTTGCATGGAAAGCGCATAATCATCGCGTGTCATGTGGAAATTTATACTATTTATGGTCTGTTTGTTTGTACTCAGAGATGGAATCAAATGGAATGGGTTGCTGCGACGCGGCTTTGGTGTCGGGCTCTGGCATGGGGGGGTGGTGGTGCGGGTTGGTTGGTTGGCTCAGATGGTTAGCCTTGGGGCACTTAAGCTTGGCTTTGGCTTGGGCTTTTGTCTTCTCGGCACTGCGCGCTCTGTTAATAAATTCATGGAAAATTGCCAGTAATTACGAGACAAGCGACGACGATTTCACAGGAATTCTTTTCGCTGCTCTGCTCTGCTCTGCTCTGCTCCCCTGCCTTCCTTAAGGGCGTCCCTTTTTGCAGCTTTCCAAAAGGGAAAATTTTCATGGGGTGGAAATTTGCATATGTGAAAAGTTGTAGCTCGTAAACCCCATTAGAGCCGAGCAGCTAACATTGTAGATGGATTGCGATAAATCTTTGTGCAAAGCCCCACAGCCAACCAGCCAACCAGACACCGAGACACTGACACGTACACTCTGGGCTTGGAGGGAGACCCCCAATTGGCATTTCCCATGAAACTTTCTAAGCTCAAACGAAAAATTGTGAATATTCATTTCAAGGCAAAAAGTTCTACATGCTTAAATCAGTCTGCATTATACAAATTAAAGCGCACTTAATTATACGCCGCTCAGGATGGGTCGGAATTATAGCTTTAAGGTGATGGGTCGTCCACATCACCCCCCCCCATCACCACCCCATCAACCATTCCACTGCACAGCCATTTTTCCATTTAAATCTCCGATATGATGAGCTTAACACTTGCCGCTCTGTGCCGCTTCCTTATGGCTGGGGCTTGTCTTCTTGTCATGCAGTGTGGCACATCAAACACATCAAAACCTAACCTGAATGAGGCATAAATTTCTGCTGCTTTGCAGCCAACTTTCTAGTCGCAAGCTGCAAGCTGCAACAAAAACTATAACACATATATATAGAGAGAGAGAGAGAAAAAATTTGCAATGCATTGCATTTTAGTTGGAATTGCTTAATTTATCAGTTCAGCACACAGTTGGCATTTGCCGAGAGGGCAGACGCGGCACAGGCCGCATGAATATGCATGTGTGCAACCTGCCACTGCCACATACTTTTAGTTAGACATTTTATTTCATTGCTGCATATATAGATACTTACAGATATATGTACTCTGGTTTTTTTTTTCCATCAAAGAAGGCCAAAGAGGTGGTGGCAGGTGGGTGGGGGGTGTTGGGGAATGCCATAGAACCAGTTAATGCAGCCATATTAATACGAATTAATACGTTCAGGGTTCGCTCCAATGGAGGGATCAATACTCCCAGCTTTGATAGTTTAAATAAAATAAAACTAAATTAAATTGCCAGAATGTTGTGCATAGAAGAACTTAATTTCACATTTAATTTCCTGGTAGAGTAGAGCCCTCCGGCGGAGTGCGGGAGATATGCATATATATTGAACTAAAAGGTCGTTGCTTTTATTTGCAATTTTTTAGTCCCATGAAGGGATTGATAAGAAAACACATATCGATGCACTAGAAGGTGGCTGCAGTGAACAGCTCCTGCTTGAGACAGAGATAATTGTTGGATAAGGGCGTCTCGCAAGCAAATGGAAAATCGAATTTGCACTGAATGTCATGGTAGCCAAAGGCCCCATTACAGTTGGCAAACGCTACGCAATCCTCCTCGGGCAAAGCGTTGTTCGGCTCTTTTGGTACCCAATTCAAGGAGGCAACCAAATCGCCTGATTTGGACTGAGTGAACCGGCGTCTGTCCCCCAGGCAGTTGATTCCAGCCCACACCGAATGACGCCAGCTGTCTGTGAATTGCAGCCCGAGGCTCTTGAGGTGTGCGGTTGTCAGCTCCTTATCCCGTTCATCTTCGAAAACCATAAGATCGGCGCCCCGTTTCCGACAGTAGCGATCGGCGACATGCCAATTGGCCTATATAATTATGTATGTTAAATATTTGTATATATTAAATGGATTTATTAGTTTTAGAATTTTACCTCTTCTAAGGACACGTAATAACATTTGTTGCCCACACGTGTAAAATCAGTTGGGCAGCTCTCTGAGCGCACAAGTACAAGCACAAAAGACAGCAGGACACCAACGGCAGAGAGTACTTGGAATGTCATGATGCTTTCCGTGTGCGAACACATTGAATGGTTCAACTAAAATGTCGCCCCGTTTTATGCACATCCAAAAGATCTTATCTTATCCATTCTATATCTTCTTATCCCATATTGTATTTTGCAATCACATCGGCTTCCTTATACGCGCTACTTAAAGTCTTTGTATATTTTTTTTTATTATTTTTATATTCGGTATCCGGTATATGGGTGCTTTCATTTATTTATATACATATAGACATAAATATATCAATATTCTTTCATATATTTCATTCGTATGTTTGTACATAAATAAAGTGTTTGTGTATATGCTTTATCAGCAATAATCATATTTATATAGCCATATCTGTATGGCGTATTCGAACCCCAGTTCTCAGAAACTTTTAGATTTAGGGCAATCGTATTTTCTGTTCAGAGTCCTGTGATATCACACTTAATCAAGTATAATGTATAATATTTTCCCCGACTATCTCCGCTTTTAAACGCAGAAATTATTTCGCGCTGCCCTATAGATAACTTGATAGAGTTAATTCAAGGTGTAAATTTAACCAAACTTCGCCAAATATTCGCCTAATTTTGTACTACAAAAATCAATGCTAAATTTCAGTAAACACTTACAGCAAACTAAATTTACATTTATTCAAAAATAATCAAAAATAATCTAAAACATTTGTTAAAATTCCCTACCTTACTCCTATGTAAATATCTCTGCCGTTCGGCTTCAATGAGCTCAATGAGTCTGAGTCACAGCTACAAAATTACGCATAGCATTCAGCCACAGCCAACTGCAACTGCAACCAATATTGACCTTAAATGCATTCAAAGAACTTGGCAAACTATGAGCACATATTGCATTTGCGTGTACTTAATGAATGCAAGGGCAGAAACCACAACCAAATGGATATGAAATTGAATGAATAAATAGCAATCGAATGCCAAAAGCGCAGACAGACAAAGCTCCGATGGCTGGTGGGCAGGTGTTCCGCCCATGAGGCTGGCTAAATACAAATTATGCAACTTTAATTTTGCCTTCGACGGGGCAGCTAAATATGAAAGAGCGAAACAAAGAAGAAGTCTAATTAGCATTCGGCCTGCTGCTGCTGCCCGAAGGAAAGGACAGGAACGAACGGAGCAGCCAATTTGTAAATTATATGAAAAGGTCGAACATGCAAACCATTTCCCTTGCCTGTGCCCCTGCCTGTGCCTGTGCCCTTCCTTCCTGCTTCCTTCCCGTTTGCGGTCATTAATTAAAAATTAGTTTTGTAAATATTTTGCTCGCCTTTTTGCGCAATTCGGTTTCAGTTTGTTTCTCGGCTGTATTCCCGGTGTATTCCCTTTGAAATTAAATTGTTTTATAACGAAGTGTCTGTGACTCGCGAAGCGCAAAAGTGGCGCCGCCGCATCTCTATCCGGGGGCACGGCCCGTCAGGCCGTCAGTTTCCCTCCACTTTGCATGCGATCATGCAATTGCATCAGTCGGCGGTGGAGGCGGTTCAGTGGGATGCAATGGAAGCCGAACCCTACCTATCACAGGCCCAACAAAAGCCCAAACCCAACCCAACCCAAGCCGCCTCTAAGCTCATATTATTTGTGAATTTAATTTACGGCTTTAGACTCATTAAAGCTCGTGGCCATAGAATGTCTCTGATGCCCATCTTGCGATTGCCTGGGGAACCGGGCACAGGCAATCCAAGTGGAAGTCCCCACCCCCCCAATCCGACTCTCTTGGCTGGGTATGTTAATGCCGCTGCTGGAGTGGGTAGCGGCAGGGAGGAGGGAGAAGGGCTGGCCGTGTAGCAATAACACCTACTTCATTACAGGTTGCACAAATATAATGCATCATGATTTTTTGCCTCATTGTAGCATTCTTTTACAATTGCATGGACAGTGGGCTCCATTTGAATGGTAAGAAAATCGAAATATATATATATATTATTTAAATATTTATGCAGCTAATATTTTGTATTTTTATTTATGAATAAATTTTAAGGTTTATTTTTAAGAGTAAATACCTTTGATAAATATGCTAGCTGGTAAATACTGTATTAAATATTTATATATTATATATTTTTAATATTTATGCAGCTAATACCTTTTATTTTTATTTATCAATAAATCTTAAGTTTGTTTTTAAGATAACATTTGTAATATTCTAGCTTGTAAATACTGCTATAAATATTTATATATTATTTTTTTGTATATTTATGAAGCTAATAATTTTTGTTTTTATTTATTAATAACAATTTTTAGGTTTATTTTAAAAATAAATACCATTGATAAATATTCTAGCATGTAAATACTGCTATTAAATATTCGGCTAATAACAGCAAATACCATCCATAATTTTTAAATGTGTCCCTAGTCATTTTTTTTATTTATTTTTATTTATTTAAACTTAATTTTATTTGTAGCTTTAAAAATCTTAAAATAGAGCAAATTTCTTTTGGGACTATTTAATCTTCCAACTCAACTCTTCACCCTACTTTAATTTACCCATTTGCAGCATTGTTTGCCCCACTGTACGTTTGCCATTCGTGGCGGTGCATTATGCCAAGAACTATCAAAATCTTGTTAAATAACAATGTTGAAGGCGATCCACACAGTGCCCAGCGCATCGCGTTAATAGAAGACATCATCAAAGCGAACAAATATACATTTTATGATTGTGATAATCCACAGAGACAGAGACAGAGGCAGAGGCAGCGGCAGAGACACACAGAGAAAGACGAGCGATGCGATTTGGCTATGGTCAGCTGGTTATGGTAGCTGCTGCAAAAATTATAATACATATAACTAATTAGTAAATATCATTTGCTGCACAGAACACTCGTAAAATCGCGTTTATTAAATATAGACACCGACCATGCAAAGACATAAAATCGGTGGGGGCTAGAATCTGCAATCTCCGGAGATAGGAGCAACTCCGCTTGCGAACACGCAAGCCAAATGAATAGAATTTTAATTTTAATTTTATTTCCTCATTAAATGCACATTAAATCTGCTGTTAATTGTATTTCCTTGTAGCCCATGCAAATTCCTATTTCTGGTTGTATTTTCCCTGTCAATCGTGGGGGACTCTCTCACAGTGCCCCCTCCTGCACACTTATAGAAAGAGATGGAGAGAGAGATGGGGAGAATTATTCTCATCTCATGTCGGTCTACATGAAGCCAATTAAAGGCTGCAACTGCACTTGCGCAACTGCAAGTGTCATAAAATTTAATTTATTTAAATTAAGACAATGGCAAAAAAAAATTTGCGTTTTTAATTGTCAAGTGCGACCGACGCTTCGGCATGAAGATTATTCGCCATCCACCCCATGTTAACTGAGGAAGTAACGTCTTTATTTGGGGGATCCGAACTGCAGCAGGAAAATAATAATGATGTGAGTATTTAATTCCGGTTTTAATTGAGGATTGTGAGGATGCCCTCTAGAATTCACGATGCATGGCCACTGCTTCTGTTTTCTGCCTGGTTCTTCAATGTTCTACCACAAAGCAGCCTGCCAAAGGAGTCCAGTCTCCCTTTTGGCCCCTTGAAAATTGCAGGCGTTTGAGTAGCCATCAAACAATACTCGAAATTGAACAAAAGAGCCTTTGGCAATGCATTGGCTGAATGCAATAAAAATTAAATAAAGTCATCAAGTCTATTTACAATTTTTCGAAATCGTTTCATTCTGTTTCCCATTGTCAAATGGAGCGTGCAAAGAGCGAGCAAAATCAAAGAACAGCGCGGCCAGCAAGCCAGCGAACCAGCAACAAAATCCAAACGACTGTTGAGTAATTTAGTTGAACTGACGATCGGTCCAGCAGCAGCAGATGAACTATGACCTGACCTGGTGGGTCGCCCACAAAACGTTGTCCAGGTGCAAAAACTGGACCCGTACTCCTGTGTGTCTCTCTGTCTCTATCTCTATCTGTGTCTGTGTCTGTGTTCCTCGTGTCATGTGATTTATGATGCGTTTTTGTCTCGCATTCTAGGGAAAAATACCCGGTCAACTTTTGTGTAGGCGTCGATGGAACACTCGGACTAAATAACACTCGATGTCTGGCACCCAGCAGCAGCAGCAGCAGCATCATCATCATCCCGATCATCCGCACTCTGTGGTCATCCCCCGCTTTCTTTCAGTATCATCATCCCCCAGTTGGCCCGGACAATGCCCAGTCTGGCTATCTGTTTGACCAACGCACTTTTGGCACGCTTCCCAGCAGCCCCTATACCATTACTATCAATAACCCTACCCAGAAGTTCTTTTGTTCCCTGCCGTACCTTCTCCTACTCCAACTCCTACACCCATGGCCAAGCCCAAGTGCCACACACTCGAGGGACGATCACAGCTAAACGCTCCGTTTAGGCTGCCCCCCCCTCAGAAAAAATTTCTGGAGTGGCGTGGCATTAACCTTGACTCTGCTGCTGCGATCCTTATCGCGATTGCCCTTATTGTGTTTATTGTGTAACATTAATCGAAAGTGCATTGTCATACCCCCAAGAACTGAACTGAACTGAACTGAACTGAATGCGGGGGTGTTTTTCCGGCCCCTCGATTACGTATTTCTTCTCCTGGCTATACATATTATCCCGTGGTATTCCTTCCTTTTTGTTTGGTTAATTTATTATGACATTTGGCGCGTGTTGAAAGGTTTTAATATGCGGTCTTTGGTCTGTGGGGATCTGGCTGGAGTGCGGCTCGGACCATGTGGTGTGTGAAGATCGATTTGGTTATGGCAACATATTTAAAAGGGGTGTAAATGGTACAAAACTAAAGGTACAAATTTATAATTCTCTCAGTCAATCAGCAGTCGAAACTCCCAATAATCACAATTTTCCTTAACAGAGTTGTAATATCTTTTCTAAAAAAAACACGTTGTTCGGAGCAAAGCCACGCCCGACTAGCTCTAGCTGCTTTGCAAATATTATCAGTGCCCTTCGGATTTTGCATGTCTGCTCACGCTCTGTGCTTGCGTGCCCTGCTAAGCGCTTTGTGCCTGCTAAGCTCGCCGCTCTTCGATAGCTACGTCCTTGCTGCTTCGTTGTCTACGTCTCTTTGCGTGCTTATCTGAATGCAGCGAGCAAAGGTGCAAGCTCAGCTTGAAATTGGCTGCATCTATGTGGATATATGTATACATATGTATGTATGTATGTTAGGATTTTGCATGTTTGCTCAAGTTCTGTGCCTGCTTGCCCTGCTAGGCACTCTCTCGAAGCTCGCCGCTCTTCGTTGTGTACGTCTCTTTGCTGCTTATCTATGCCGAGCATCAGCAAAGGGCAAGCAAGACTCTCACTTGAAATTTGGCTGTCATTAAAGAAAGTATTGTAGATATTTGAATTTTACTTAAGCGCCTTAACATTATTAAATCGTAATAATTATTCGGCCAACACACGCTTCTTGCTGATTCGATAAGAATTTCATCCAATTAGTTTCCACAATTGAAATTCTGTTAATCCTATTTGTTTTTAGCTAACTTCTGCAAGTTCCTTGGCTGCTCAATGCTATTCTTAGCCGTACTCCCCACTGAAATGGTTCATTCCCATGCTCGATAAAATTATTAATTGTCAAGAGGGGAGAAACCTTTGCGCCAAGAGGCAAGTGAAGTTGTCTAAACTTGCAATCGGTTTCCACTTGCCGTGCCAACTTCACCCTACCCTCCCCACCGCACCTCCTACCCACTGTTTTGTGTAGTGCCCCCCCATCTTTTTTTTTTCGACATCTTCACACACTGACGCCCACTTTTCTGGAGCACCGCCCCATTTATCAATATTCATTTAGTGTCGTCGTCAACTTGTTTCTCATTGTGGTTCTTGTTGCTGTTTTCTCCCGCTTGCTTGATGATGATCATTAACCGAATGGTTGCTTGGGTGGGGTGGGGTGGGGTGGTGTTGGGAGGCAGCAAAAATTAATTGACGGCGCATAATGACAGTTTATCTGGAAAAAATTGTTTGCCTCGAGTGTTGAGTTTTAATTAAAAATTATTGGATTACGTTGTTTGTCAGTCTCCGCCTCCTTAGCCTCCAGCAGCCACTTCTGTTCTGCTCTGTTCTGCTCCTACTTGGCTATGCCTAAGCGTAAGCCAAAGCATTTCATCATTTTAATGATAGTCCCAGCAAAAGAAAAGAACTTCACTGCTTTTAGTGACAAAACAATTTGTGAGGCAGCTCAGGTCTTGGCAGTTATATTGCACATAGCCCACAATACCCTACATAGATGGCATTGAAGAAGGGTGGTGTAGCTTGGTTTCTGCGAAATAAATATGAGAAATGGAATGCACAGTTTATGGTGGGATTAAGTTGTTTCGGGGAATTTCAAGACACCAAACAAATCACAAAACTGCCAATGGAGCTGGTTAAAAATATTATAAAAAAAAATTACCTTATGTAGGGCATTCCTTTTATGGATTGCTCTCACCTAAAACTTCGTTTATTTTGTTGCATGGTAAATGGCAATCGTTGGCACACAGGGTGGCACTAATTTGCACTAATCCAGCCTAAAATAGCTTTGATACATCCAATTTTAATTCGTGCTCATTTAATTCCATAATTAGAGAACAATAATTGGCAGGAAACACGATAGATAATATCGTGCATAGAAATTACAAAAAAAAAATGGCTATAAATACAGCAAAAAATATTTAAAATGTTGCAGATGCAACTGAAAGTGGAGCCCAAATGCTTTGGACAAACACAGGAGGACCCTGGCTGCTACTGGTGCTGTGCCACGGCATTGTGGCTGAGGTAGGTGTGAGAGACATACCCTGCAGAATATTACAACCCTCAGCCAATTGAACTTTCGAATCTAGCGCAAATGGGATTACGAACCCAAATTCGTGTCCACCCACACCTCGGATGAGAGCCAACTGAAGATCGGTGCCAATATTGATCGCTTGAATCGCGCAGACTTTGCAGTTTCGGCCACCTTCGATTGGAATTACGATGTGGATGAGACCACAATGGTGGGTGTACTGAGCCCACAATCCAATCACCATTCAATATTCCCATTCGCAGGTGGAGGGCCATGCTTTCCGCAGCTTTAATGGGGATGAGAGCGCCTACAAGCTGATACCGTTATCCATTCCCAGCACCCCCTTCGGCAACTTTATCGATACGTACTACAAGGATGTCTTCCTCACGAACGTGGGCTACTGCTCCAATCTGCCGCAGTTCAAGGATAAGTTCCAGCTGCCCTGGCCTAGGGGCCACTACCATCTGACCAAATGCGTCTTCAGTGGCCAGGGACTGCCGGAGGTTCTGCCGTTGGGCTACTACAAGATTTTCTTTAAAATCACTGGCGACAATCAGCCCACGTGGGGCTTCACCGTCATTCTGCATATAAAGGCAAAGATGTTTTAGCTGCCACACTAAAGTCAGCTGACTACTGCATTTGGATATGGAAAATATATAAATTTATATATCAAAGCCATAGCTTCGGCTTCTGCTGGGGCAGTGCTTAATCCACCATTCCTGGGCACTGTTCTCTGACTGCTTCTCAGTTATGCCCCAAACGTTGACAACCTCATCCCCATCAGCATCATGATGATGTTTGCCATCAGTTGGAGCGGCTTTTGCCTTTCTTGACTGTCGGTCAACTCATTTTTGATCATGCTTGGAGTCTTCTTTCCCCACCCTTTCTTCAGCCTGGGTGCCGGCTTTATTCCCTTCACTCTCCACTCCACTTTTGTTATTGTTGTTGGTTTTTTTTTTGGCCTTAAGGAAGCCATTACACGCATACATCCGCGTACATATATTCAGGATTTTCTGCCTCGGAAGCTTATGAACTGAACAATCATTTCTGTCTCTTTCCCGCTTACGTGTACTGCAATCATTGCTGTCTTTTTCCCTCCTTCGTGTTCCCTCGGTCACGCTTTGTGGTCGGTCGATCTTAACCCATGGCTGGCTGCTGTCCTTCTGCTCGTTGCTCTCACAATTTATTACAACAAATTTAAATGTCTTTGCTTTTGTGTTCGACATTTTTATGGCTTTTTTGTGGATTTTGTTGCCACTGTGCATGTGCATTGGCTGAGAGAGAAAGAGAACTATTTTAGACAGTTTATGGAGTAGCCCCATTGACTAATAAGTATTTTCAAGATCTTCCACTCTATAGGAACTTAGCATAGACATAGAAATTCCCCCTGTGCCAGTTCTCGCTACGGCCTAACAATGGATCTTTTTGCCAAAGTTGTGCATAGTTTTTAAACTCAAATTAAAGCACAAATTGCTACCGCAACAATCGACTTCAAAGGCACAAAAGCCGATGGGGGCCACGGCCACGGGCACGGCCAAGACCGTGGTGGACTCTCCCAACAGTAGCCCAAAAGATTTGCGTTGCGGCACAAAGCCAAAGTCCCAGTTCAGTCCAGTCCAGTCCGGCCCAGAGCTCCCCCCCTCTCCGACCCCCTGTGCCTGTTCCATCTGAACATTCAGCCAGCATTCACATCCATCAATTTCTGACGCTTTCATCAAGCGGCGACGACATTTGCCACAAAGGAAAACAGCAGAGCAGAGCGGAGGCAACAGCAACAGCAGCAGCACCGCAGCAGAGGCCATGTTCTGTTCTGATTATTGTTGCCACTCGAGCGGACTGTTGTCTCTCTGGTCGGAGTGGAGTGGAGTGGAGCCAGGGGTTCGTTCTGTCGCTGCGCATTTAAATTGTCGGCAGGATCCAAGCGTTTTGCGCTAATATCCACCAAAAGCAGCAGCCCAGCCAGCCAGTCCTTGTCCCCAATGCATTCCTTCTGGATCTCCGCGCTCCGTTCCGTTTCAGCTTCTGTCTCTTTGTCCGCCTTCTGTTTCTGTGACTCTTTTTTGCGACTTCTTTTCATGGCATTGACATCTTTTCGTCAAAGTCAAATCATTCATTTTGCCGCATCAAAATGCATAAATATTTTCGGCTTTCGGTTTTCGGCTTTTCGTTTTTCGGGTTATAGATTGAATTGGCAGTTGATTGTTGGCGATTGTTTTGCCTCGATTTTGCCGTTGTCTTTGTCGCTTTGCTGCGTTTCTTTTTTTGCCATGGTCCAAAAAACATTTAAATGGCTTGCATTCTGGCTGTTTAGGCAGGGCGAAAATCTTGGCTAGAGCTGTCAAAAATTAAAAAAAAAAATCATAAATTTTAAACAATAATAATAGATTTTAAATAAATAAAATAAAATAATAAATAAATTTAAATAAAATAAAATAAATAAATAACTTGATGTGCAGCAGAAATATATGTGCATGGTATATAATAAATAAAGTAAAAGTTCAGCTCTTTCAAACATTTTGTGTTCAAATTTAACACTCTTCAGAGCAAGTTTAAGATTAATTAAATAACATATTGTTTTTGTTCCTGCTATTTTCTTTACCTTCTTTTAAAATACTCGACAACCCTGTCAACTACCGCAAGCAGACTCCACCGACTGCTGACGGAATGCCAAAAGCTCAGTCCACATAAAACGGACATCGATGCTAATGCAGCAGAGGCGCGGCTCTGCCCGCTCTCCCAGCTCTGCTCTATTGCTACTGTATTCCGCGCACCGGATTTCTCCCCCCTCCCATATCTGTCCTCTCTTCGGATCACTTCGGCATCGCTTTGAACACTGTACTGCTGCCGACGGTGCGGTGGTCGTTGCTGGTGTTCACAATGCCATCAAAATTTAAATAGCAAAGCAAACAATGAAGAAGAAGAGAAAGAAAAAATCGCTGCATTCCCTTATGTCTGCGACATTTTTTGGTACCTTCCGCAGAGCATTTCTTTCTCTTTCTTTCTTTCTTTCTTTCTGACTGCTTTTTTCTGTTGTTGGAATGTTTGGGCGATTTTTTGCAATTAGTTTTTGTCGAATAAAATGTCTAACGGTAAGTCAAGCTCGCTCTCTTTCTCTCTTTCTGTCTGTGTGTCTGTCTGTCTTTTCCACTGTGAATGTCAAGGTCGGAAGCAGCCAAAGCAGGAGAATGTCTGCTGTAGAGAAGAGGAAGAGAGAGTAGCAGCAGCAGCAGCCTCGAAGGCGAAGTCGAAGACGAAGACTGTTGTCGGAGGACTGTGGCTGGAGTTGCCTCCCCAAATTGATTTATGCGACTGTGAAAATATCAGAGACCCACAATTATACACAAAATACGGAATGACAAAGATGAAAAACGAGCTCGATCCGCAACTATGGAAATGTGATAAGCTATAATTAAGCGACCAAAAAGGATGCGACCCCGGCCCGGCCTGCCCTGCCCTGCCCTGCCAGCAGCAGCAGCAGCCTCCACCGACAGTCTGTGGAGTCTGTGGATTCTGTGGTGCATTGGGGAGGGGCGTGGTGTATGCTAAACAACATGCAAGGGGCGTGCACAGTGTAAGCAAATTTAATTTATACAATATCTGGTCTGGCGAATATGCAAAGAATTAATTTCGTATCGCGTACCTGCCCCTGGGGGGAGGTACGCCATGCTGGTACGTCCGGGCAGATGGACGGGGGGCGTGGCAGTGGTTTGGCATTTCAATTGGATAAAGTGGCGCCCCGAACAGGTTTTCGAATTACCAATTGGCATTTGGTTAATCCTTGTGGCGGAACACGAAACAAGGTTGAAATTTTAACCCATTGTGCAGCCAGGGAGGTAAAAATCGTTTCATATAATATTTATACGATATTTAAGTACTTCGTAACTCAGTATAATTAGTTCTTATAATTTCAATGCCCACTAAATCAAAATTTAAAATTTTAACTTTACATTTTCTTGCTTTTATAGCTACTATAATTATTCCAGTATCAAGATCAATGGTAGCAGATTTTGGTCCAGAAAGTTTATATCCTTTTTCAGCTTACCTACATAGAACCTTCGTTTTTTTCATATAATTTATGGACTACAATATTCATCACCTTTCAAATGTACATTTCCCTTCAATATTTATTTATATTTATTTAAATTTATTTTTCACAAACAAAAAAAAAACCCAACTTGGCAGGATCTCCTGGCAGTCAGATATGGGTTAATCACTCTAGGGTGCTGTTGTCGGCCTGGCTCTGGGCACCGTCGTGACCACAGGAATTATGTACAAACATGCAATATGTCATAATATTTATTGTTTTTTTTTTTTTGATCGGCACACCACCAGCGTATCGGCTGCGCCCTCTGGACAGGACAGGACAGACCTAATCGATCAGGTGTAGTAGCAGTAGAACCAACCAAGCAATTGAGTAATAATTCATAAACATATTTCCACTCGAAAGAAATTAATTTACCTTACCCGAGCGAGTTGTTCCGTCTGCCTAGGGGTTTCTCCTCTGGCCATTATATCGACGTGTTGACGTTTGAAATGACAACGGCGCCCCACCACACAACTGTCAATCACATTGGGGTGTTCTGTTGGTAACTAACAACTCTTATTGGCCATACCCAATTATTCATATTGTTCCAATGAAACGCAACGAAAAGTCGTCAGCTGTCTCGGTTATTGACGGTGGCGCATTGGCCAGAATGGGAACTTTTTTTTTTACCGTCTAATCGTTTCCGGATATATCCGTTACGTCAAGTCACGCAAAGTTGTGAAAATTTGTTGAAAATTGTTTCAATAGAACTGCAGAGGAGGAGGGGCACTGCTATGAATAATGTAGGATTGTGGGTTATAGTCGAAGGTGGAAAGGGAATTCCGAATATAGAATTATATTCAATTACAAGGAGATTTCTTATGAAAACCAATAACCGATTTAATCCATGTTTGTTTATTTGCTTGCCTGTCCTCTGTGCCTGAATGACTGAAAGGCCATATCTTTGTATTTATATAACTTGAATTATATTGGAGGATATTTTTTTTTTCATTTCTCTTAAAACTACTTCGATTATTTCTTAATCACATTGGAGATTGAATACTGGTTAATTTTCATAAATAAAAAATATTCCTTTGAAACACTTTATTCCGAGCTAAGTAGCTGAAGATTTTGAATTTAAATTTAGCTCTTTTTTTCCATATCTTATTATCGCATTATACTATTCCCAAATCGCCCCAACTGCATGCCGTTTGCCTTTTCCATTCAATAAATGACTTCCACATTTCCCATTGAACACCATATCCTCTTTTGGTATTCCCCCAGGAAACCAGCTCCCTTCTGTATTTTACGTATTTCTATAAAAATATGCAAATCATTTCGCATCCCCCCCTCCACTAATGGGCATTATCTACCATTAAATGGTCAATTGAATTTACCATTTCACTATTTAAATGTTTGCTTTCAAATACACAAATTTCTATTTGATTAATTGCATTGCATGTATGTAAGTATGGTGTGTGATGGAAATGGTATACACTTTTGACAGTCATGCTGGATGGTTAGGAGAGAGGGCGACCCAAGACGGCAGGGAGATTCAACTGTGGATTCAACTGACTGTGTCTAACAAGGTTCACAATTGGTTGACTTTCTTTGGGGTCGTATTTCATTTGAATAT